CGATCGTAGTCCGACACAAACACAATGTTTTGTCTGAGACTCATGTTTTGAATCCAAGCCGATTGTGGCACATAAGACACCGAACCCCTCATTGCACTCCTCGAGCCTCCCGTTTGGTACATATCGCCCATTAGGGCTGAAAATAGGGATGACTTTCCCGATCCCACTCTTCCCACGATCGCAACCAACGATCCCTTCTTCACATTCAGTGTAATATCCTTTAGAATCGGCTCTTCTTCTAAACCCCACGAAAAGCAACACTTTTTCAAACACACGGCATATCTCTCATCACTTGAATCCTCTCTTCTCTCATCCCTTTCCACACTTTCCTCCAATTCTTCACAACTTAAATATTTACGAATTCGTCGAAACGAGACAATAGCCATGGTCAACTGAGTCAACACCATTGGAAGTCTTTATAATAAAATAATAAATTTAAGAATACTTTATACAAAGCATTGATAATAATTAAATATAATATAACATACCTTCCCATCGGTGCCTTCAATGAGATATAAACAGATAGCGAAACAAAAGCCGTTTTTGCGGTGAATGGCTGACCAGATGTATAGATAAATATAGTGAATGTGATTCCGGCGATAATGAAGGGCACGACAATCCAGAGCACATCAATACACGACCAAAAATAGTTCTTCAGTTTCAAAGTATGCAACTCTTGGCGTCTGGTCTCTGAGATCCGTGAGATGAACGGCTTCTCCCAACCAAACAGTTTCAGGAGTTTTATATTACTTAATACTTCACTGATTTGTTCCATACGTTTGTCTTTCAACTGCATCTGTTTGGTCTGCAATGTGTCGATACGTGTCATCTCTTTCCACACTTTCCTCCAATTCTTCACAACTTAAATATTTACGAATTCTTCGGAACGAGACAATAGCTCGAGTCAAGTGGGTTAACGCATCGGGAAGGCTTTAATAATAATTAAAAATGTTTTTATCTTTATTTTCAAATTAATTGTTATATATTTTGCATACCTTCCCATATAGGGCCTTAATATGTTAAACACAAAAAGTGAAACAAATGCTGTTTTAGCTGTAAATTCTTGACCCGATGTTAGCATATAAACAGTGAATGTGATTCCGGCGATCATAAATGGGATGACAACCCAAAGCACATCAATGCCAGACCACCAATAGTTAGCGATTCTCAGTGTATGTAACTCTTGATGTCTTGTTTTTAACACTCTATCCATAAACGGCTTCTCCCAACCAAATAGTTTCAGAAGTTTAATGTTATTCAATACTTCACTGATTTGTTCCATACGTTTGTCTTTCAACTCCATTTGTTTTGTTTGTAAGCCATTGATTTTTCTCATAATTAATGTATTGAGTGGACCCACGACTGCCATCATTACAAATAAAGTCAGTGATGACGGACCCAATTGTCGCCACAGAATATATCCACCAATCATTAGAATTATAGGTATGATATATAAGTTGGTCATCGACCGGAAGAAGTCACATATCTCCGTCACATCGACACCCATTATGTTATTGATATCACCTTTCATTTTATTTATATAATTACAAACTTTTTCAATAAACCAATTATCGCTTACCAGTCGTATATTCCCGACGGGAAGCCGCACTAAGTCTAAGCATTTTCTGATAGATAGCCGATATGAGGGCCGCCTGTACTCTATAATAGGCTATCATTATCTTTTTCAATAAACCAATTAACGCTTACCAGTCGTATATTCCCGACGGGAGGCCGCACTAAGTCTAAGCATTTTCTGATAGATAGCGGATATGAGGGCCGCCTGTACTCTATAATAGGCTATCATTACAAACACAAATGAATGACAGTCCAGTAGTCGACTCAATAGATTGAAGAAACAGTAAGCCATCGCATAGTAGACTCCGTGCCACATATGGTCCGAATCGGACACAAAGTCTATGATTTTCTCGAGAATGAAGGGCTGAAACATTGCGGAGCACACGTTCCCCAACATCAGGATAGCGGTCACTGAATAGGGAGCCCATGCCGTCCACCAGATTAGTGGCAATAGTCTTATTTGACATTTTAATTGACTTGAATTATATTTCTTATTCATTGTTTCATACGTTTTGTAAGAATTCTTTGCTTTCAGATAATTACAGATCGGAAGCAAATGTTGAGACAAATCATTGTATGATTTGTATCCGTGTTTTAGGATGTTGTTGAGCCAAACAGCAAATATTTTAGAGAATATATTGAAGTGTTTCATCGGACAATTGGATTCACTGTCGGACTCCAATACTTCAAATTCAGATAACTTTTGTGTTAAACATGAGATAATTAATGCTTGAAATGTGAGAAATACTTCTAACCCATTTAATACTGCTTCAAACTTAGGAATATTCTTGTAGTTCAACACAAAAAGTTGATACAAACTAATTGATACAACAATTAAATTAGTGAACCATTGAATAGG